CTTGTTAGGAGTCGGACACTCAGACTGCGTCAAGATCCCATTATCCCCAAGTTGACCTGGACAATGCCTTTAACAAAAAATATGCGCACCAGGAATGAATTTGTGTGGACCAAATGAATTTGATTGAGATAATTGAAAATAAATCAAGTCAGTTATGAAACTAAGGTGTCAATGGGTGTTTTAAAAAACCTTACAGTCTAACTATGGACGGACTGAAGGAGAAAAAGGAAAAGGAAAAGTACCAACCTTAGCATAAAACTCGTCATGTAATTCACTTAGCACCATGCTTTGCCCATCAACGGCGACTCGATTATTGTTAATGGTGATTAGTTCATGTACCTCAAATACAGTCAAATTACGGAGCGCATTTGTAACAGAATGCTCGACAGAAGCTTACCATGGCTTCATATGTCCACTGATTTAGTAGCGGAGTGACAGGATCTTCACTTCGATCAATGATAAGTAAAATTGTGTCTCGTTTTGCATTGTCAAACAAGCCTTCTTCGCGTCGTACTACCTCAAATTGGTTCAAAAATAGGAGTGAAACACAGGCTTGAACAAAAAAAAAAAGAAATTCGCATGACATGCGCGATGGATGCAAATAAACCTACTTGATTCAAATCATCAGCAAGTCTTTTACAATCCTCTGACATGCGTTGATATCTGAACTATCGCGTATACGCTGTACCAAAGCACACTTGCATGGTATTCTTTACCTTATCACTGGTTTCTTTTTCTGGTTAAGCAAAAGCGCCACAAGCGCCTGTTTGATTCGTAAATATGCAGCTGCTGTAAGATTGAAGGAACGGTCGTAGACTTCTTTTATATTGATGCAGTAAATTGGAGGACTCAAAGCGATGCCATCAACAAAGAACTCATGCACTTCTCTAACCTATAATAACATCAGGTCTCTACGAACAGATAAGATTATAGGGGAGAAGCAGGGATGTAGAATGCAAAAAAAGAACGTAAATAAATAGTAGACATTAGAAAAGCACGAAAGGAAAAGTTGAGTTGAGCACAATAAAAATATGAATACTATTAAGAAGAACAATCGAAACAAGAACATTTCGAAAATGTCCAATAGAGAACTGACATTTGCACCAATCGTTGTTTTTACTGTTTTATTTTTTGTATTATTCAACAATAATTTATACTGAAAAATAGGAGAATCAAACTAGCAATATTTCTTTCAATGTTGATACACTTCTCCATGCCTATTAGGGATTCGGGAGGTAAAAATGACAGCACTTTGCTTGAACGAGGCAAAAGTATTATTATCACATTAAAAAAATGACAAAAGAGTGAGAGAATTTGTTTAATGACAGTCGTAGAAACGTGGGAGAAGAGGATGAATGATAATGCAAAATCAAAGTTTCAGCCCTCACAAACGGATACTTAAAGAAATTGTAGGACTAAGTCAGACAATTCACCGGAACTCCCGCAGGACAAGCCAAATT